AAAAAAAAAAAAAAAAAAAAAAAAAAAGCTAAAGAAATAAAATAATAAAATAATGAAAGCATGTTCTCAGGCATTTCTTCAGTGTATACTCTTTTCAGGACTTCAAGACAAGTCAAAGTGCTTTTTCCTTCTTCCTTCCCCTGCCAGGCAACTTGCTAAAAGCAGCTCTGGGAATGAGCCTTGCTTACATCCACTCCACTGGCTGGCAATAATGTCTATTTTATAGTTCCCGTGATCCTCATACTGAGTAGCAGCCTTGCACCAATCGTACTGCACTATAACTGACAATCAAAGCAAGGCATTCTTCTCAAATGTCTAAAATTGACTATTTGTCCTCTTTTCCTCCAGGCTGACACATCATAAACCAGGAATATTTCTGTTTGCAGAACTTAATACATAAGAAAAAAAAATTTCACCTCAATCAGTTAACATTTTTTCAGAATAATTTCAAATGTATCAGTTAACATGAAAATTCAAAACAAAACCCTTCAATCTATTTATTGATTAGAATAGTAAATTAGGCAAGTAGCAATAGTAAATTAAGCAGGCATTTTGGCTTCAAGACAGTATTTCATCCCTAAGAAAACTAATGATGCACAATTTAAAAAAAATAAAAAAAGGGGGTGCATTTCTATGTCATTCAATTGACTTGGGATTACAAGGAAAAAAATAGCAAATAATAAATGGAAAGGAAAACTTGAAAAGATTAAATAAAAGAAAATGTAGCTGTGTCTTGAAAACAACTATTTTACTGAAATCAGGCAGTTTTCAAAATCACCAAAGAAAGTGAGGTTTAAAAGTCTTCCTGTATTTTGTTTTTCAGTTTTGCATGGGGAAGTTCATAGCTATATAATTTTTATGGATTGAATTAATACTTAATTTTCAGCTTTCTGATGTATGTAAAAATGTAGTTTATTAATCCATGGAACTTTTTCATGGATTAATAAAGAAAACCAGCTAAGTGTTTAATGCAAAGAGCAGCACATCTCTAATGTAACACTTAACAACATCTTGAGTGCTAATGGATATAATTAAACAAAACAATTCCTGGAAATTTTCTGTGAATTTCACACGTCCTACTTCGATAGTAAATGTGATTCTTTATGTGGAAAAACACAGTATTGACCATTATCAGTACTTAAAAAAATGAAGGCAGGGAATTCAGGGGAAGCTTCGTCAGGACAGAGAATCACCAAATTGTTACCAGTTTTTAAACAGTTGCAAATGCTTTTTATTAATGGTTGGTTGCCTTAAGAAATTATTAGAACTTAAATTTCCTTTCTCATCAGAATTACTGAAAAGCTTATAATGATAAAAATTTAAGCTTTTAAAAACCATATTCTGCAACTGCCTTTCTTAACATTCTCAGTGCCCACACCCTCTCAGAGAGTCCTTATAGGAGATAGTGCTGGACATCTACTGACACTTCGAATTGAGATAAGAAATGGGTGAACATTCCCAGGGGCATTCAGTTGTGAAATAATGTGCTTTTGTTTCACTTAGATCTCAATTATCGAGAAGGAAATTGTGCCCTCAGCTTGCAGTAATGATGAAAATGGACCAACAAGTGCTCAGCAGGACTTGTGCTGTATCCAGCTCTAAAACCACACACCAGCTTTCATTTCACTTTGCTAAGCGCCGTTAACCAGGAAATGCTCCACAGAAATGAAATTTCTGGCTTAACTATCTATGTTTGAAAGTAACACAGGAAGTTCAAGATTTAAGAGAGGATAATCAAGTCATTAATAAGATTCTCTGAAGACCACAAACACATGTGGAAATATACTACAGATTTCAAATGGAGCAGCCTCCTCATTAAAAGTTTCTGAGTTAAAAATGTGCCAGTTTTATGCATTTTGTACCTGATTTCAGGATCTCACTTTTTTGCACTCTTCTCTGTAGGTGTGAAAAGGACATTGATGAGTGCAGCTCTGATCCATGCCTGAATGGAGGCCTCTGCCAAAACCTGCTCAACAAATTCCACTGCCTCTGCGACGTGAACTATGCTGGGGACCGCTGTGAGATCGATGTAAGCGACCTCTCCTTCTTTGTCTCTTTACTGTTGTGGCAGAATCTCTTTCAGCTTCTCTCCTATCTTATTTTGAGAATGGATGATGATCCAGCAGTCGAGTGGGGTGACCAGGAAGACTATTAGCAACCCTTTGACTCTTGGTTTAGCAAAACAGAAGATGCCTTGACCAAAGAGCTTAGCAAAGCAATGCAAGCATCTGAGTTTGAAAAATCATTTTATATGTTTTTTGAACTTATGTGAAGCATTCAGTTTTATACAAATGTTCTTCAACTCTGGTTGTAATGTGGAAGCAAACCCTTCAGTAATATCATGTTACTTTATAAGATATAAGAAAGTGAATGATGGGAACTTTGTGATGCAGTGCTCAGGTCCGAGTTCTTGCCTGTTTGATGAACTACTTTGGATCTGTGTTAGTGCTTTCACTTCTTCATATTAGAAAAAGGGCTAGCAAATCTTGAAAGTGTCTCAACCCCACACCAATAGACCATTTCACTACATGCACGCTGTCAGCACAAACAGTGGAGGAGATCAGAAAGTAAGACATAACAAGGGGAACTTTAAGATACACCTGTGGTAGCATTCAAGCACTATGCAATGGCTGGCAAAGGTTTGTTGCCCTCAGAGAGGTTAATTTTACCATTAAATCTTACTGGTGTCAATATCTCTGCACCACATAATACTTTCACTGCTAGTTTTTGGCCATTTGGTCTCCCACCTGCGATACCAAGTATGGTGCTTTTGGATAAATAACACTATGGATTAGCAATGGGGCCCCTTGTACCTCCACTTGGTTTAGTGGCAATCCTGTACCTCTGCTCCATTAGCCTCTACACCTCCAGTGCATCACTCTGAGATAAACTGTGGCTATCTCATTTTTCATTAGAATTCCTCTGTCAAGTAAGGCCCAGGAAGTATATTAGATTTTGAAATTACAAATTTGCTGTATTTTCCAAAGATTTCTTCAAATTTCAGAAAGTCTCTCTATCAGACTCAACAGACTAAAGTGCAACCTTTTGTTCCTTCATATGAAGTAACCAAGGTACTTCAGTTGAGTGGCTGTACATGGATTCTTTAAATAATGAAAATTATGAACACTGGGAGATTTAGAAAAAAAAAAAAAAAAGGAAAGAAAAAATGTAGGAAATGTAAAATATCTGAATTTGTGGATGCCTTTGGGAGAGTCAACACAAATGAAGGACACTGCTAAATATAAAACAACAGTGAAAGTGATTTTTTCTGAACAATGCTTCAATGCAAAAAGCATTTGTGAACTGTGCAAATATTTCTCTGGGCACTGATGATCGTATTATATTTGTATATATTCCATACTCCTTTTAGCCATCTAAAATAGAGATCTCAAATGATAGTGGCATGTAACAAAGTTATAGGAAAGATTAGAGTTATTTGAAGAGGTTTTGTGACTCCAGAGAGTGATAAGTGATATGTTAAGGTTCTCATTTTGCTACAGTAAAATGCAGCAGAAGTCATTGCCTGAGAATCAAGTCTCTCTTTTATTTCTCATCTTTCAGAAGTGTCCCCAGATTGATTTTTTTCTTTGAACTTCATTCCAAGCATAATTGCAGCAACACTGGTATTATTAAATAAGGTTCCTATTTTCAGAAAACCCTCACATTCTTTTGTGCATTTGCAGCAAATACAGTGATTCATCCCTGTGAAATGCCACACATTCCTGTATTGAGCATTTGCCTTAGTATGAAAACTTAAGCACAATATAGTAATTATGGTAACAGCTACATTTATTAGGATAATATCTTTGTTATATTTATCTTAAAAAGTGATTTGGGTAGTTTCTATGTTTATTGCTCTTTAAAAAAAAAAGCGCTGTTCATATGAAAGGTCCTTCCCTCTTTATAAGCAAATAATTAACGTTGAAGAAAGCTAGAAAAAGTACATGTATTAACTGTATGCCTGACAAGCAATAGCTATCATTGCAGCATGCAAACCAACAAATATATGTGTATGGAGATTCCAAAACTTTTTCTATTCAATACCAGAAATGTGATGACTGCACAAACAGTTTTAAATGGATTTGAAGGAACGTGTGAGCTTTCACGTACATTTAGAGTTTGTTACCTGCAGAGCAGCAGTTCAGTCTTTGAGTACATGCTACACAAATATTGTCTGTTCTTGCAATTTAATTCTTTCCTTCCTCTAATGCCTTGTCATCATGAAACATCTCCTGACTTCAGCTGTGCTCCTCTCCCCTCTATATTTCCATATGTTCAACTACATCATGTACGTGTACAGAACTTTCCTGTCATTGCACAGAATAAACCTTCTGCCTTTGTCTCTATGTCTGCTTCTCATTTCCTACTGACAGCTCTGTCCATTTGCTTCAAGTGTGTCATTTCTTCTGATATTACCACCTTACACACACCAGCAGAGGCTGCATTTCCCCATTGCTCTGCAGTAGTGCTGGCAGTGCCTGGGGCAGCTGTTCAGCTGCCAGTGCCTCCCCAGCTGCAGCTCTGTTATGTGTCCAAGGGCAGTTGCATAGCACAACCCAACTGACAAGACCCAAACCAGCAACTCAGAGAAGGAGCGCTTAAAGGGTCTGCAGGGCTCAAAGTGACTCTTATTACCTGCTTTCTCCTTTTGTACTGTCAATACTTACAAAACTGCTGGGTGTTGGAAGGCCTCTGCTAACATTCTGACAGGTCATTTCTTCCCTTTGAGTTACATCATAGCCTATAAGCTGGTTCTGACCTGTGCACAGATCTCTAGTTGAGAACGGACTTCATATTTCTAGTTTATAACATTAAACAGAAAAAGGAAACAAATTCCAGATTAATTAAAATTATTTTTTGGAATATATACTTTCACAGAAAGATAAGCCATTTGAAAGGAAACAGCTTTAGAAGCAAAAATGAAAAAAAGCTTTGCTAAGCACTAGTTTTTTGTAAGTACATCCAATTGCAAAGATTTTTTAGGATCTAAGAGGTTAAAGATTTTAATGTTTAAAATTGAGATATAGCAGCAAGATCTTCATAGATGAATGGAAGCAAACAAGCATGTTCACTGTATTGGGAGGTATGGCTTGTGATTATGAACATTGACACTAGCAGTAATGGATCCCTCTATTTTGACGCTAAGGTTCAAATGTTTTTTCATCTCAATAACTGTCATTCATAAATATGGGCAATGAGAAGTAACAGTGATAGAGCTTGAAGAAAAAAGAAAGATTCTGAAAAGAGGGGAAAGATAGCAGTGGTTGAGGTACTAAAAGGGGAAGCAAAAGTATCTGCATCAGCTGTGGGAGGAGTAAAAGGGAGTGAGGGAAACAAAGGAGCAGTATTGCACTGGGGAAGTGTGCATAGAGAATGGAAAACTTAGAGTTGCTGTACTGACAATAGTTCTTACTTCTGACCCTTAAAAAAACAGGTTCTGAGTGATGCTCCTCTGCTACTGCAATTCAAGTTCTGCCAGCAGCATTCTGTCTTAGCCAAAAAGAACCCAAGTGTTTGTGAAAGAATCCTTGATGTTGAATGCTTATTGAATTCTTTTAGTCCCAGATAATTTAATTTTTAAGAAACTAGATTCAATACACAGTTTGCTCAGTGCTATATGCTATGTGACTGTAATAAGTTAGTGAAACAAAAAATATCAAAAAATATGCTTCAAACTCACAGTGAATTAAATTAGGTTTCCTTTTTTTTTTTTTTCTTTTTTTTTTTTTTCTTTTTTTTTCCCATTGCAAATATTTTCCCTGGCCTGACACCCAGAGGTCCAGCTGGATGGACACTCCAGTTCTCTAAATCATCTTTTGGCTCTTGAACTAATTTTTGCAGTTTGATGTAGTGATTTTCCCTATAAATGTTTGCAATGAAAAGTTCTTCAAAATACCACCTCAAGAACCACTGGTTACTATAACCTAATAAAATAGCCACAAAAAAACTCCAGCAGGACATCATTCTGTAACACTTAGACAACTATTACCTGCAATACATATTCAGAGAGTAAAATAAAATAAATGGAAAGTTTGTGATCCTTTCACTTTGTGTTTCAGGAGTACTATGAGGTCCCATTAGGCCCCAAAGCCCATTCTGCCTGTACTGTGCATAGCAAAAGGCATCCCTATGCTGAGGCAAATGCAATCCCCATGCTGACTGGCAAACAGCTCAGGATGTACTTTAAAATTGTTTTTTGAGCGTTATCATCAGCTGCACCTTTGGAACAGCACTTCCTCACAAAGCATACCCTCTCCTATTGTACTTGTGAATATACATGAATCTTGAAAGCAGTGCTAGATTTCACATCCCAGAATACAAGTTCTGCTAATGCTGTGTTCTCTGATGTGTGCTGCTGTTGCTTCCAGCTGGTATCATTTGATCCTCCAGGGCACAAGGACAAGCGTCATGCACTGCAGGTTACAATTCACATTTAGTATCATTAAAAATACACTGATAAGCATGTAAAGTATGTTCAATATTGAATCTGAATTCAGTAAAGCTCTCTCAGGCTTCCATAGCACAGGCACACAGAATTTTAATTGAATTGGCACTGCAGCAATTAGCTAATGTATTCATTAACTACAAGGCTTAGTAATGTGAACGTAGCAAATGATACTTAATTACAATAATTAAAGCCTAGTGATTCATGAATAATGCATTCTCTATTTACTTATTCATCCTTGTGAAGCCATTAATGGATAATGATCATTCGAATAAAAGACATGGACATCAGGAATGTAGTACCGAGACTAGTTTTTCTCAGTCTCACCATAGCTTTACCTGTTTGCCTTACGTACTTCTTCCTTGCCAATACCCACAGAGATGGAAAGTATTTGAAGAGCTATAGAGGAATACCATCACAAATAGAGCCATACTGGCTAGTTCTCACACTGCATCAGTTCTCAGTCAGTACTCTCATCAGGCTTGGAGAAGGTCCAAAGAGTCCCATCATGCCAGAAATACAGGATAGATTTTGTTTTGTTTTTAAGTCATACTCGTGTGCGATTATTTTGAGGCAGCATTATCATTTTTGTTCTTAGCCTAAGTTCAAATGCTCAACGCTAGGCCAGTATTGCTCATCAGCAATACTCAGCTCATCAGCTAGGCCAGGGATGTGGCAAAATGAAGCAAAGCCAGGAAAGTCAACCGGATCTGGAAAGTGCTGCTGTCCAGGCTGAGGAGCTGCACTCACCTATTGCTCCTCATGCACAGCAAGTGAGACGCAGAGGCGGGCAGCACAGTGAGGGCAAGGCTTTAGCCACAGGGCATGCAGGCACTTACTGGGGTTTTGTCTTCCCCAGCGCATCTGCTCACTTTCCTGATGCTGCTGGAGCCGAGACAGGCAGGCAGCAGGAGGAGGTGGGCTGCTGGTGAGTTGTTGCTGTGGTGCCTTACAGAGCAGCCCTGCACTGTCAGCTCCTCAGAGAGGAATGCAGCACAGCACAGATAAACTCACTGCAGTCTCACGATTGTGTAGGTCAGCCACAAAGGCAGACTTGCTGCTGCTGATGGTATGGGGACATTCATTCCTGTGCCAGGTCAGATGCAGAGTCAGAACAAACATCTTTAGATTTGTAAAATGAACAGTTCTGCTCTGAAAGTCATTGCAAATGTCACATTGCCATTTTTGTAGCTGCTTTTCTTCTTTTTTTTCCAGAGCTCCTTAATATCCTCTGCTACTTTCTATTAGTCTGCTTTCAAAACACAGGATTGAACTAAAACTTCTAAAAGAGTATTGCAAGAAACACATTTAATATGTGCCATAACATAAGGTACAGAAACATTAGGTTGCAAAGACGATAAGGTTATCTGATGTGTCTTAGCTGGGAAAGACAAGAACACTCCTCATGAGGCCGACATTACTGCACGCATCAGTGCAAAGCAGCTGAATATTTAATGTATGTGGTAAATATAAGCAGCAAAGGGAGCCCAGATGATATATGACAGCCTAACACTCCACAGTATAGGAATCGGCTCAAATAGGGTATTCACATAACACATTTAACGTTCAGACTAACATGTTTTGTCTGTACACCATCCTTTATGTTGCAGAAGCATTGTTTTCCTTTTCTCACCTTCTGATGTTTTCCTTGTAGACTCTCAGTCACATCACTTGGGCATTTACTTCAGTCATTGCTCACTTCCAAACACATTCGAGCACTCCATGCCTGCATTGTTCAGATACTAAATTTTACATGCTTTTTATCATATGGTTCATGAAAATTAATGTTCTTTTTTTTTTAAATTTTATTTTTTCTCTCTCTCTTTTTTTTTTATTTTTTTTAATTTTTTCTGGCTTCCAGTGATACTAGAATATATACTAAAAGTTGTTTCAGCTCTTTAGAACAATTAACTCAGAAATATGTGTGTGCGTGTATATATGTGTGTGTGTGTATATATATATGTATATTTATGTATGTATATATATATATATAATATACATACATTTGTAAGAGCAGAAACAAATAATTCTGTCTTCCAGTGACTTTCAAACAATAATGCTCGACGTCACTGAACAGTCTGGCCAAAAGCAGACTGAAAACAGACAATAAAATAAATATATTTTAATTCCTTAAATCCAAATTAGTGAACTCACTAGAAGTTTCTATAGTAAAACAAATTCCAGCCTCACCTTCAAAATGAAAAATAAAGCCTGGGCTTGTCCTAGACTGCTTTTAAAAAGAAAAATATACTGGACGGAAGTTGAGGAGTTCATAATGGAAAAGATAATGTATATGGAGTTGGCAGCAACCTCTTGAGATTCAATGTTTGTCCTCTTCACTAAAATGAACAGAATTGAGAGATAAGTACAAAGCTATAAAGGGGATTTATTGCCAGATTGGAAGGTGGCTTCAGGGGAAGCTTGTCCACCACCATTAAGAACTTTAACAAAAACCTCCTCACTTTTATTCAGTACCTAAATAGGAACCACGGCCCTTGGCTGCAACCACTACATTATTTAGACGGCAGCAGTCCTGTAGCACATTACTCCTATCTACATACTAGCTCAGCATAACAAATACATCTGGCAGAATAGTGCTCAGAAATGATTCACATGCTTACAATTACTACAGAAAGGTCCATGGAGTTATGATGTTTCCAGATAAAGCAAGGGTGGCAGGCTCATCTGCCTATGCATCTCTTGGTGAGTTCTGCATGTGAAGTATGTTCTTGCGCAGAGTGCTTTTCAGTTCTTGTTATGAAACTCCATTCCTAACAGTGTCTGAAAATATTTTGCACACTTTATTAGAGTTCTTGAATATTTGTCCACTAAAAAGCAATAAAAAAAATCCTATTCTTGAATATCTGAAAAATATTTTGTGTTCAAATGATCAGAAACACTTATATGTTTTCAAACAGAATCATCTACGTGGGAGGAAAAGCTTGTTACTTAAATATTTTAGATTCTGTGTACCAAACTGTAAAAACAATAGTCCTCAAATTTATTCAAACATTATTTATTCTCTTTTCAAGAAGAATAAAAACTTCTGTGGTACTGCTGTAACACAATGGAAAGGACAGCGGGAATCAGCAACGGTGCCCTTTAGAAACCTTTGCAATTATTTAACTAGAGCAGCTTTTGCACCACTCCAAACTGCTTTGGTTGTTGGTAGAAAAGAAAAAGGGAACGGTAGCGTTAAGAGGATCTCAAGCACTATATGAGCAGGATAACCAATTATCTGTTTGGCAATGTGTTCTGCCTTTCTTGGGTACAGTACAATGAACCTTTAAAAATTTAAAAAGTTACTGTATTGCCTTGTCTTGGCTGCTCAGTGTTACTAGACCTAACTTAGTTACTTTAGTTAAAGTGTAACAAAGTCCATACCATTAAATTCCAAAGGAGAATGAACTTGAGGTCCATTTCATGTGAGAATATACTAAATTACAACAGATTCTATTAATGTTAATATATGTTAACGTGGAAAGTTAACCACACTGCTTGAATAAAGCACATAAAAATCATTTCCAAGGGCAGATGCTTCAGTGCTTAACAAGTCACATGTTGGCATTCAGGAATGAATTCCTGAGTACCCCATTTGTACAAACTCCTGGCTATTGCAGTGCTCAAGACAAAACCAATAACTCCTCTGAGCAAGGTGAAGTATGAGAAAGTCTGTAGTTTCAGTAACTCTATGATAGTTTTAAATATCTTTTGCTTATTTCTGAACATGATTAATTCCCCACCTTAAATAACAACATTGTAGACTTCAAACTGAGCTCAGGTGCCTGAGGATGGACAGCAGCACTTGCTCTGTTCCTGGAGAATGTCATATTCTCCTCCAAAATAAACAGTGTACAGGAACAATCCCAGCTTGCAACAGCTCCATAATATTCATTATATTATCAAAAAGACTACCCATCAGACTCTAGCTTTCTTGTTCAGGGCTGTACAAACACCAACATGTGGCAGACAGCCAAAGGTGGAGACCTGGGGGTAAGTCCTAGCCAGAACTCAATTGGTCTTGCTCCTGGTGGGAGTGTTAGGACCAGGATAGAATGAGAGAGCCCTTATACAGCCATTAGAGCAAGGGGCTCCTGTAGTGAAAAGAGCTTGCATGTGCAGATAAAGGTGAATTTTGATCTGACTCTGCAGACTATATAAAATGCTTACTTTCATCCCGTACTGAGAAACCTATGGATCCAAATTAATCATCTGACTGAAGCAGAGCTGAGTTACTCACAGTCAATATGCCTTATGTTGGAGGACCAGAAATAAATGCAATTAGGTGAGCCAGCATATTTTTTCGTAAGAAGTATGAACTTCGAGAAAATCTTCTGAAAGTGTAGGAAATCTTTGAAGAAAGACATTAACAGTGCTGCCATTAAATCCTAGCATATTAGAGTAAATTCGTCTAATGTGAACTACAATGTATTTTCTATCAGTTATCCTTAGGTGGCAGTAAGGTAAAAGCACGGAGCAAAAAACTTAAGAGAAATCTCTAACATATTTATAGAGACCTCTCCCGCATGTACCGTGCTGGCTATAACATGAAAAGAGACTTCATAAACTTCTTGCACCTTCAGCAGAAATATAAAAAGCAATTACTAGATTAAGCTTCATCCAAATCACGTTCAGTATTGAATGCTGAACTATCAGTACTATGACCAGGTATTTCACTAAGTATGCAGTACTAATCCAAGAGTCCCTAAGATTGGAATTTAAATTTGTGGGGAGAGACGGACTCAAACACTCCTGTCAACAAGAAAGTACACGAAAAAGAAAAAAGGCTGTAAGAATATGGTAAATTCACTATCAAACATCTGAATCAAAATTAAAATGAGATTTCAAGGAGTGATTATTGATGTAGAGCTCTACAGATTTTTATAAGAATTTCATTTACATTTTCCAAGTATTGCATCTCTTCCGAAGTCTTTCTTGAATATAAAACGTTCTGATGTAAGTCTTCTCTGATCATCATCTAGTAGAAAAAAGAACAAACACTAGGATATAAACATACTAGAAATTTTTATCAAGGAATATCATTAACTAAGTAATGTGACAGTGTCATGTAGCGTGCTAAGGCAAGAATTATGTAGCCAATAAAGGTCTAACTTATACCATTAATATTTACAGTTGGAAGCATGAGATGGCTGCAATCTAAGTGCTGCACCCAACAAAGGCTTGTTGTTGACTTGATACCTTCTTGTCTGACAGTGTGAAACACTCACATATCTACTTACTTCATCACCACTTGACAGCGTAATATTAATGCTAGGTAGCAACACATGGCTGTTTTGCAGAAGCTTAGCACCAAATAGGAGGAAGAAATTCATCAAACGCTCAGGAGATTGTAGGCCTAGCTGTGCAGCAGAAAAGTAGAGATGAAGAGTAACTGGAAATTATCCACTATAACAGTAATCCTCACTCTGTTTCTGCTTCACTGCACTCCATTGACCCCATTACTGTGCACCATTGGACAGAGTAGTTTCTTATTCCCATAGAAAGTGGGAAGAGGTAAGTCTGCCAAGTTCAGCACAAGTTGCACCAGTTCCTCCCAAGAGCTAGGAGTCAGGTTAGATGATCTTGCTTCACATCACAGCAGTTGGGTCCAGAACCCATGGCAGGTGGCTGCCCTGTGTGAGACACTATTCTTTGACAGTTGCTAAGTGGTGATGATCATAAGGATCTGATTTCAGAAATAAAAGAGCATCTGCCACTAGCTTTGCTCATTAAAGAAGAGATCTTTTACCTCAGCTGTTGTGAGCCGAGAAGCAGGGGTTCTGAGGAAGTAGTTCTGTGTTTGCAATTCATATTCTGCAAATCCATTAAAGTTAACTGAAGTCAATAATGCAGAACACAACCGAATCATGCGTAGTCAAAACAACAACCTCACCTCTTTTCCCCTAGAACTGTCGTGCTCTCATCTTCAGCACTGTAGCATCTTTTCTTATTCTTCTCCAGCTTTTGGGTCCCCTTCACCCACCTCACGCTTTCATGACAGCAGGCACAGTCCCCAAAACGCCACTACTGCTCATAGTTCCAAATCTCTTTTCAGAAGTCATTTCTACTGTGGCAACTGTATGGACGCAGTAAACTCAAACCAGATAGATGCAGGACAGTGACAGAAAGTTACTGCTTTCTGCAATAGCCTTTTGATTTTAAATATTATCCTAGTCCTCCTTGTGAGATGCTTGCATGGTAAAGCTTTTGTCCATCATCAAGATTTATCTGTATAGAATCTACTGTCTTGAAGCTGTAATGCAGATAATCCCCTATGGAGAAAAAACACCTGATATACTTCACTGTTAACTATGTAGAAAAATAATTATATATTACACTCCAAAGCATTTCCCAAGCTGGAAAGGGATGTTGCACCCCAGAGACTGATATCTTCACAAAAACACTGTCATAGTATTTGTCTAGTCTGCCATTTAGCAGCTTTGGGACAAACTCCTCCTCAGCGAGATTTGCCTGGATTTACACCAGCTATAGATTTTCCCTCCTATGCTTTCAGACGGCAGCAGATGGCTAAGTTTCTACACCAGAGGCTGTCAATAGAATTTTAAAAGGCATCTCATAACAACACATTGGAGCTGCACATTTAATCTGTGCTGCACCAGCAAGATGATCTTAAAAAGAGCTGGAGTACACTTACAAAATTAGCACTGTCAATTGCTGCAGAAATGCTATCAGGGAGTCTTCTGAAAGCCCACAGCTTGATGACAGCTTACCTCCCAAACTGCCAGCCAAATCACTTCTCTGTGTGTAACCAATGCTCAGATGTCTAAGAGAAAAGGCATTTAATAGTGTCTCACATGATGCTGATCCACCGAAATATCTAACGGAGATTTTAAGGAGCTGCTTAGGCACTTAAAGGTTTTCTTGGATCCGTAGCTGAGCTCACATAAAGTACAGTGGTAGAAAAAGAAGTATTATTTCTTCTACCTAAGACAGAGCATCTCAGACCTTTTAAAGACTATCATTTTTGAGCCTGGGCCACCTCCATTAAACAGTTGATATGCACCAGGCATCAATACCCCAAGGAGTGAAAAGAAAACGCAATTACTATACATAGTCTGTTGTTATGAGCTGGATTCCTAAAAGTGGGCATTTGAGTTTGAAAAGCTATATCTAAAAAGCTAATACTATATACAGAGCTACCACGGCCATTTGTGATAGCATCTGTGTAGAGAGTGAGTTGTTTTGGTCTAAATGCAGCATGGTCTCTATGTGATCCAGAAATGATCTTGCAGTCTGATGTGAAAAGGAGGAGGTCTCTGCGTGCTGATCAGACTGTAAGATCAAGGCCCGTATGATACCCTTGTTTTAATCAAAGGCTGCTTTACAATTAGTTGCAATGTTTTTGAGACCTCCACCATCACTTTCCAATTTCTTGTTCCACTATAACTAGAACAAGCTTCCTCGGTACATTCTGTAGAGTCACAGCAGTGAGACTTCACGTGTCAGGAGGGAGGCTGTCAGAATTTCTTAGGAGGCACATAAATCCCTGTGAGTGAAGCTAAATCACAGATTTCAATCATCTCTAGCTTCTTCATTTTCTCACAGGACACCAAAGAAGCAATTATTCCTTAATAAAACAGATTGCATTTTTTCTTGATCCATAACTGTACAATCCAGATGATCAATTTATCATTGCAGCTGCTAAAACTAATTCTCTCTACTTTCGTGCCTTGATTTCATGAAGAGATGTCAGCCAACTAAAAGCTGACATTTTCCAGGAAGGAATTCATTCAGTCTGTCATATTTCAAATAAGACAAACCACTCAAACTACACTCCATAAGCAGATGTATAATAAATAAATAGGTGTTTGTGGGTTTTTGTTTTCAGACATAAATATCCACCTGAAAATGAAGAAATAAAATTTAAAAAGTTACTTACCTACAAACATTCATCTTCAAGGTGGGCTGTCTGTACTGTGGATCTTCTGTATATGTCCAGGTTGCTCATCCAGGTTTTATATTCAGAAATGGCTGTTCAATTACAAATAAGACTTGGGGATCTCATTCAGGCCCTCCAGTAACGGAATTGCATTTTCCTGCAAAAAATATCTCAGATGCTGAAAGCAGAAAAAACAACAACAACCTATGAAAATTCAAGACTTTCTACAAGTCCATGTACAGCATAGATTTTCAGAGGACCACAGTGATATGTGCGGGATGACAAGATGGTCTTCTCTTAGTGGATGTGCAGAGGGAGAAAATCCCAAGATCTGGAGAGAAAGTTATAGTCTCCTTGGGTTACCTTGCATGATGCAGGTATAATCTGCATGCAGAAGGCAGAGCTAAATGCAACCAAGCACATGGGACATGTGGGCAGCTTTATCTGGAGCTATGAGGCATCTGGTTGCAGAGAGAAGCAGTCACACCTTTAAGTAATGACTTCAAGTCTGAATCTGTGCCTTCTATAAACAGCCTTCTTGTTCTTTCTGTTTGCTTTCATAAGGAAAGCACAACTAGCAAGGAATTCTTCAGCAGTGTTTCTGGGTCAGTTTTCTTATCAAATAATCCTGAAGCCTGTTAGGCATCAGTTTTAAAGCAAATCAAATATTACAGGTTTAAAGAAAATAACTTTCTTCACATGGAAAATAATGGCTATCTAATATAATGGCCATAGAAAATGCATTTTTGAAGCTGATAAGATAAGCTGAAGTAAAGCGGGCAGGAGGAAAAGGAGTTGGAAGAAGTGGCCTCACCAGTGATAAACAGTGGAAGATCAGCCAAAGTGCACCACAAACACTCTAGATGCTGCCACCTATGTTACCAAAGGTACAGAATTATTCACATACCTGGCCAATAACAGTTACAAGCACACTCAACTGAGATGAGTGCCCACATGGACAGCAGCACAAAGAAAGCCAGGATAAAGAGGATAAAGCTGTTAAAGGAAGTAGCTAATGGGTATTAATTTAAAAATTAGAATTGAAAAATAGTTCGTCATTCCCAATGGCCAGTGCGGTGTTTGGCTTAAGTGAACATGAACTTCTTGTTTCTGTGTCCAAAATTTATCGGTTCAGTTTTGTAGCCTAACAATCAGACAGCACAGCTCACAAGACACAGTGGCTCGTGCTTAGCATAGACAGAACAGATACTTCTAACGTGATGCTAGGCAGAATACTAGGTACTTGCTTGTGAAACTGGAAAGCAAATAATGGAAAAACAGTCTGAATGCATCACTTAAAGTATTTAAATTGGAAGAAAGTCAATCTATGGATTTACAGTCACTTTACAGCTCTTGAAAAATTGTAGTCCCCCAAGCTGAGGTTATCAATGCATCTTATTATATGACTCACTGGATTTCTTCTAGAGCTACTGGGTTTCTTATATGAAATCAACCTTGAACAGAATTATTTGCTGATAAGGTGATTGTAAACCCTCACTGAAACAAATTCAGCATATCTGTGGGCTTTCTAAGAGTCATAATGGCTTTTTTTTGGCTACGCACTATTATCCCTATATACTTCCAAAACCTTTCAAAGTAGTTCTGACATGGGCTAATATGATTCAAGCCAATCATAAAGTAACCCTAATTACTTTAGCAAAAGGTTTTGATCTGGGAGCAGTAAATCTGGATGTCTTCAATCAGATGTTTTTACTGCAAATGAAGTGATAACCTCATGGCTGGTGTCAGGACTTGAGATCTGGAGACTTCACTAGTGAGAGCTCTACTGCACACAAGCAATTGCAGAATTCCCAGAAAGCACCACATGTGCCAGAGAAGGCAATTCTCAAGGCTGGCATTTCCCATGTTCTAAAATTTTTGATGATATCTCTGTCTTGTAAAGCATCCAGAATCCATGCTGGAATGAGGCTGAGTAATTCTTAATGCCCAGCAGCAGACACATATCTGCTTTCAGTGCACAATGCACCATTCCTTTTACAGCCTGAAGACGCATAGCAGTGGCCCCAGTCACACTTTCTACGCCAAGCTCATGCCCACATCACAGTGTCCCAAGCATCTTGTGCTATTTCACTTAGACATGAGGGAGTTGCTTCTTTGGCAGCGCAGCTCTCTCCTCCCTCCCTGGCTCTGGCTCAGCACTTGTGTCTGGGACCATAATTCTCATCCCCCATACAGCAAGCAGTATTAAACTGGCTAAGTCATGCTGATATAAAACACACAAGAGGAAGAGACACTGTGTATTTTGCTGGTTCCCTTGTGCTATTCCACTTGCCTTTGACATTTGGCACATGTGGAAACATTCATATATATAGCAAATCTCCAACGTTTCACTCATAAAATAACTGTTTGGAAGACATCTTGTTTAAAAATAACCACACATACATGAGATTGGTATGTGCTACTGAGCTTTGACTCATGAACTGGGCATTTTTTATCCAAACAGTTCATCTGCAAAACAAGTCGAGGAACAAGCTTAATAATCAGCCTATCACAATCATCGAATGAAAATATCAGCACTACAGTGGAGTTTAACTGTATCAAATCATTTTATCTAAATACTCAAAATAACTTTGATTTAAGCAATTTAAAAACTTAAATAGTGGATAAACTTTAAAATGAAATCAACAGTAAAAAAACCAAAACAAAACCAACACCTGTTTTTTCTTAAACTTCTTTTGTTTAGAAATTTTTCCATAATAGATTCGCCTTACTTTTGCTGACATCCAAAACATATAGAACATGCTACGTAAAATACCCTAGAGAGAAGCAAATTGGCCTTCTACTTAGCCAACTTAATTTTATTGGTATTACAATGACACAGGATGCCATCTTACCATCTGTATCCATGGCCGTTAAGGATATAGCTTTTACTAACAGGAACTATATAGAGAGAGCAGGTGAACTCACAACTATCATTCATTGGTTACCTTTTAACAAGGCTCATAGCATCACTCAAGTTGAAAGAACCCTCAAGAGGTCTTAGCAGCAATTTGTTTCTAAAAAAACTGCTCAGTACATTATTCTTTTGGCGATCACCACCAAACACTGTGATGAGCAGATCCTTGAGCTATCAGAGACAGAGCTTGCCTGATGCTTTCTCCAGACAATTCAGTTCATCTCCCAAATTAATTGTTCAGCCATCAGTTACTAGAGAAGCAGTTGATTTTGGCAGGACCAGACTTCAGAGCCTTCAGGCAACTCTCCTATCAGTTCCCTGCTTTGCTAAGGGGTCTACCTACATTGTACACTTGGGCAGTGATCTGCAGGCTGATAAAGCAAGGTGCAGAACTTGGACAGTAGATTTTTTGGATTAATAGAAGCTACCCAAATGAATGCATAAAGGTCAACTTCTTCATATTTGGAAATTAGAAGCAACATTAACACAGAAATAAGGTTAGACTATGTACCTGATTATTGTGAAAGAAAAACAAAACAAAACAAAACAAACAAAACCCACCTCAAAATATTTTATTCAGTGGAGCATGTTATTTTATTTCTAACATACTGGCTCGAGAGGAAGAATTTTGTCCAGCCAGTTATAGGCAATATGTGCACTTCTCATTAATTTTTTCAAGTTCAAATCACTCACAGATCAACCCAAATGCAATGAACTCAACATAAATGAAACAACAGGAATGAGGATTATACAGTCTAACAGAGCAGAGAAATTCTCATGTCTCAAACATACCTGCAACATCATTTCAGAATGAGACCTTCTCAATTTGGTACAGTTTAAAGGACAAATATGTTTAATGTCTCCTTCTTTTAGGACCGGATTCATGTGATCTGTCACTTGCACTGAATTATTTCTGTTGCAAAAAATGTTTTTAAAATCATTGGAAATGTATATGGAGTCATCAAGGACAGAGGAAAATAATAGCCCAACTGGTCATGTATTCCCTAGAGAGATTCCCTGAGCCAAACTTGCTTTCATTGTTACAGCAGGACCTTTTACATCAGCATGGAGGTGGAGAGAAAAGAGGCAGGATTGTTTTATGGTTCATCCTCTGGCATTGCTGACCTGAGCAGCATGAGCTCTAGCACTGCACACAGAGCACTGCCACACAAACAGCGCTATCGACGGTGGGTCTGTCACTGAACATACATTCTCATTCCTAGGACAGAAATGGCACTTCCTTAGAAATGACGAGTAAGAAGGTCACTGCAATATCCTGAAACATGCTGTATCTCACTGGAAAATGGGCTTTGACCTGCTATTTTCTATTTCTAAATATTTGGGGATTTGAAAGTTCAGCCTCAAGCACACATTTATCTATGGCAGTTCAGCTGTCACTTGTAATACAGATCACAGAATGATAGATAGCAGAATCTACCCAGAAGTTCCATTCCTTCCAGGGTTATTCTGTCCACAGTGACCACTTAGCTACATCATCTGCATCTCTTCACTGGCTTTCCTCACCACAAACTATTTTTTTATAAACTAAACCCACATATGTAGATGTATATATATAACGTTCATCTTCTATAAAATTTATCTGGTCTTAAACATTTTAGCTGGCAGATTTGTTTATGCGCGCTGTACCTTCTGACATTATCACATTTCCTACTGCCACATGAAAACAGAAAAAAAAGACATAGCATCCTTACATTCATCTTATGCTGTACTGCCTGTGTTTCTGTAGACTTAGCTGCAAAGCGTATGTGCAGAAGAAGGGCTGGATGAATATTTGAAAACATTTGTGAGGATATACTGATATTCATTTCTCACTGAATAGATTTCAGCTGTGCTCATGTGCAGTCTCTGTGTGCTTATTTCCAGCAAACATGCTAGTAGAAAAATTTACTGGCAGGAATAGCTGTATAATAGTTACAGTTTACACAAATATTTACAGTAAGCAAATTTTTTATATGCAAGTATTCACAGAAAGTTGACTTCTCCAGCAGGAGAAACAGGAATGGGACTGTCTGTATAGCCAGCCAGAGTAGCTCATGTTTAACTCACAGTACTGAAAACTAGTAGTAATATATTCAGAGCAAAAGAAGGAAGATGAATTACTATTGAAGTGATTACATGATTTCTGAGTTACTTCTAAAGTCCACAAAACTGTAGCTCATAGACTATTTTCAAGCAGGTAGCTATCAAATGAAATGGGTCATTATGCTAAAATTCATCCAGTCCTGCCTTGAATGTTAAATACCCCATGGTGTGTGTGCAATTTTCCAGAGTCCAATGAACAAAAACTGGAGGGGCTAATTTACTTATCTTTCAATAAATGGTGCTTCAGCAGTAGCTTCTTTATGCAGAGTTCTAGCCATAGAACGGTCTTTGTTTTCCTTCCACGGTAGTAGCTCAAGTGTGCCTCAGTACTCTCTTGACATAAATTATATTGCAATTATTTCAATCCTTCCAGTTGACAACTGACTTGATCTCCAACATATTCACCTCCCTTGGCTCAGTAACGCTGGCTTTATTGATCCTCTTCTTGGCAGTTGTGGTTTCAGTCATTGCTGCCAATAAAAGGTCGACCCAAGGAACCTACAGCCCCAGCCGGCAGGAGAAGGACGGCGCCCGCGTTGAGATGTGGAGCATTGTGCAGCCACCGCCAGTAGAGAGACTCATTTAAGGGAAGGCTCTCCTCCATCTTGGAAGATGAATGGAAGTGGACAATGTACACAAGATAGATATGTTCATTTGCATTCTACTACCAGGAGCACCTGTTGTAAAAACTACAGTGACTTGGAACTTTGAATAATTTCCTTTTAAGTTCAATAACATTTAAAATGTTCTAGCATTTAAGTGAACCAATGCCATTTATCACTATTTTGGGACATTTTTTCAAAGGACAATTTTTATTTGCACTGGAAACTTCCGCCTTGGTAATCTGCAGTAGGCATTACAGACAGTAATGGCTTCTGTGATACTCGTAAGTGCCTGTCTCAGACTCAAAATGAGGAACAGTTTTTTGTTTGTGTTTTGCTTTGCCTGCCTAGCAATCACTGCTGCAGAAGACAATGCAGACCCTAATCAATAAAGGCATAATTTTGTTCTTAAAGGGTTTATCACCATAACTGTGTTTCAACATATATGTTGATCAGGGATTAAAAGGAAGCTTGCAAAAACTCTCCAAAATGAGTGTTTCCCATTTAGTTGGTTTTCTTTCCTTCAATTCTATCATTTTCTCTGCTGCCACTTTACCTTCTGCTGAAAAGAATTTCACTTAACCTCTCTGACAAATCCATGTTTCTCTGAATATAAAGGGTATCTCTTAAAATATCCAGCAGACAGAATCTGACCTTACAGAGGACATAAAACCAAAACATCCTAAACAAATTCTGCAAATCTATATACTGCCATTTTCCCATTATGATATTACTTGATGCGTCATTTTATAAAATGATTGCATCTCATTTTGCCAACACCCTTTGGCTGCCAAAAAGGCAAGCGTGCTCAAAAAGTTTTCCAAAGCTCACAGAAAATACAAGCAGCAGCTTATAGGCAACACACCTACTTAGAAATGATGAAAGAGTGACTCAGCTCTGAAAACAGCCTTGGTGATTCTCATGGAGTTCAGACTTTCATGTTAACAAGGGAAAATAAATTTTTGTGCCTGAATGTTCCTCTTTTGAGACAGCAATAATACCACTGTAATCCTTGGTAGCAAAATGATTGCAACTGTTTGTTGAAAAAGAAACAAATATGTAAAAAGGAGTGGAATAACTGCAAATGTTTGGAAAATATATTGTAATGAAAGAGACTTGAAAATCTTCAAGAGCATTTAATGATTCGTGGTAGAGAGGAAAGAATGTGCCAAAAATACATTCAGGTTAAGGTTTTCCTGATTTGTAGAGGCAGATAACAGTAACTCATCCAGCCAACTTTCACATGTAGTGAAAAAATTAAAGCAATAAGACATGGCTCCCACACAAATTGAGCCAACAATAAAGACGCAACAGAGTGGAAACTTCCTTATGGAATTTGTCCTTTCTGCAGCTCAGGTTATCTGTTCCTGCTATTATAAAACATTCCAGGAGTTGCATAATAGAGCACACATACTCAGCATCCAAGAGTTTAAGTGATTGTTTCAACTAATGATGAACTCATAATACATTTTGAATTAACCTCTCTGGGGACTACAGAATATCAATGTCAATCACATTTATTTCCTTATTAGCTCTGATCAGTAACTCCGACAATAAGCACATTCTGGATTTCTGCAGTCTTTCAAAACAAGGCACTGTAGTAAAATGAGAGTGGATGGTGGGATTCAAATTGAATGAAAAGAACAGGGTGCTAAGGTTGGAATGACATGACAGCATGAATGCGCAACAGATTTTACTTGAGTCCAGTTTACAGCTTTACTATTGAAGCTTATGATTTTGAATGCAAGCACTGCTGTATAACTGCAGTTTAAATCCACAGTGCAAATAGCAACTAAGTAAAGAAAGAAAGTCAACAAAAGTTAACAAAATAGTTTATAAGTTAACAAAAAATATCATGGTAAAAGAGAGAGATTCAAGGAAGTTCTTTTGAAATATGGAATTATATAAGAATGGCTGCAAATCTTTTAGTCAAAAATCAGCCCAGCGTTTTCCCACTACTAAGGAATAATAAGGAATGCTATAAAGTTTGTGCAGCATTATCATTTCTTGAAGTGGATATATATTTGAAAAAAGAAGAGCTGGACTCTAAGAGTATACAACAAGAAAGACAGCAAAGAACTGTGTTTGAGGATGAGTGAGTAGTGAAGCGGGAATATTTTGTACAGATACTTACATGTGTGATTGAAGCTCACCAAAAAAAGCTACAAGGGATACAAAGTCAAAGCAACTTTCCAGATGGTGAAGATGCACCATAAGCTGTGAGAACAAGAGAGTGAAAAAGAAGGGGAAAAAAGAGATGGAAGGGCCTGAGGAGAGAGCGCTTGGAAAGTGAGGGGGAATCTAGAAGCAGGAATTGGGAGCAAAGAGCAGCAGTGGCTTTGGAACAGTAAGGCAGATGCACAGAATGTGCTTCCACATATCTGCTTTATATTCCTGAATTTCTGTTCAATGATAATGGCTGTATAGGCTAAAAGGAGGAAAAAAAATGATGAAGATTTTCAAGTGAATAGCAGAGATGGGAAAAGAAAATAGAAGTGAAAGCAGTGGAGGGATGTAATGAAGATCTAACTTTGAAATCAACCCTTCTTTGAGCAGGAGGTTAGAGTAGATGACCTCAGGAGGCTTCTTCCAGCCTAAATTGTTACACGATTCAAAGAAAAAGGACAACAGAGAGAAAGCAGCTGAAGATGGAGGTCAGTCTGCATGAAGAGCTAATGTGAAGGAAAGCGTTATTGTTCACAGTGAAAGACACAGCAAGGAGGAGGAAGTGGCTGGAAACTCATTCTGCTCTGCTCAGTGGATGGACTTTCTGGATGAAATCTTGAAAACAGTGGGAAAACAATCTGTAATAACACATTCAGGAAAGCATTATCACACAGAGAATCTCCAGGGCTGAGAAAGATACGCAGCAAAGGGTACAGGGAGGGGAAGAGAAGGAAGATGAAAGCCTGAAGAGTTTTCATAAAGACCAAAGAGAGTTCTGGAGAAATACATTACAAAAGAATTTAAAAAGCATAAAAATTGGAAAATTCTCACCGTGGAACATGAACGTGGTTTGTAGAAGGAAAATCAAGAAGGGAGAAAGCAAGAGGAAAAACCCTTAAACTAGGATTTGAATAAGTCAGGTGTGACTGATGTCTGTCTCAGTGGAGGGGAAATGGTGAAAATGGGAGTGATGAAAATTTTTGCAGAAGTAAGAGGAAAAAGGGAATGAAAGCAGATGATACTTGAGGAAAGTGAAGGCAAAAGCTGGATCACAGTCTTTCCAGTACAACAAGGGTAAAGCTGGGCGTTCGTTACAGTGAGGTCACGGAAGAGGGATGGAGAGGTTGATGGAGAGTCAGGAAATGAGATCTACCCAGTAAGGCAGATCTATGTAGGATAAATTAGAAGGAGTGACTTCTATTGAAAGTGGAAATTAAAATGTGAAATTAATTGCTACTTATGATCTTAAGAGAAACAAACAAGACAAAGCCCCAGCAGCACAAATTCTGTTCTAAATGTACTTTTTGAAAAGCTGAATTAGAGAACAGCACTCCAAGAAGGGCAGGGAGTCAGACTCTGCAGTTGGAAAAGTCTCACAGCACCTGGAGAAGCAGAAAAAAAATCCCAAAGCTGTGGCTACTTAGCAAGCTGGAGTGACAACAGTGAAGAAGCCTGACCCTTTTGGGCCATATTTCAGTCAAGAAACAACAGTTAAAACAGAGGGGAATACACCACAGAGAGTGTCTAATAGAATTTTTGCTGAAATTTCAACCAAGGATTAAGCAGGTGCCAAGCTATTTACTGCTTCTCAGTCTGGGTGTATATTAAAATACATAGTGAAGCACACAAGGAGGAGCAATAACATCTAATAGTCATTGAGAGCACCTGCAACTCCACATAAAGACCTAAAGTATTTTGAGATTTTCTAAATATCTCTATTTGATTCAAAAGGCATAAGTAAAAGAACTTGTTCATAATCACTTGCAGCCTATCCATTCAGGAAACAAATGCATAATATGGTCCCAAACCTTACACATTTTAATTTTCTCTTTATGTCTACCAGTCTTTTGTAAAGGAAAAGGTGCTAAATTAAAGCATGCGACCTGCTCTGTGCCATGTCCCTCTGAAGATGCACAGAAGCATGGAGAGAATTAAGCAACTGACTCCTCCCTTCTTTCGCAGTCCCTCCCGTTTCCTCTTCGAAAGCTGTGACACCCAGCCTGTGAAGCAGCAAGGAGAGCCTTCAGACAGTTAGAGGAAAGTTTATGTTAGAAAGAATATAAATACTGTGGCTGCAATTTGGCCAGCTCCAAATGATCACTGTGTATTATTATGTTATGTGCCTTCTCTCCATTTTATGTAAAATTAACTGTTCCTTCTCCACGTGTACATAGTATATTTATAGCTTAGGTGGTGTATGTTACTACGTTCTGTGTACAATATAAAAATGACTAATAAATAAGGATTATATTGAGCCCCATGTGACCTGTATTTTTTGTTTTATGAGTTTATTTAATCACATACTTACAAAGGAAATTATTCTCACACCAGGACTATATTTGCAATTTTAAAAGTTCAATTTGCAGTTTGGAATCAAGTGATCAAGGAACATTTTCCCTACACGGAAATGAGGTGAACGTGCTTTGTGTCTCAGAGAACAGGAACTGCCCCTATTCTGTGTCGGCATCTGCACCACTGCCAGCATTGTGTTCATCCCAGGGAGAGGCATTCTGCCACAGCCCAGGGTGGCATGGATCAAAACAGCTTGCACGGAGCTAATTTACACAAGCCAAGACTCTCGTGCTCTGGGTTTTGTTTCTTTTTTCTTGCTGCACTTCAAGCTCCCCTGCATCCAAACCTGCAGTGGCCCCAATTGCTCTGCTCTGTTCTGTGAGCTATGTTACACACCACTACTTGTTTATAACTAACTGGAAAAATATTTTGTTTTTCAGAAGTTTGAACAAAACTATACTTATTGTTGAAATGCACAAGTTATTGTGAGAGTGAGCACTCAAGTACGTCAAGTCGAGAAGTTTAAATCAGCAGTACTCTTTAAAGCCTGAACTGGAGAACCTCTCAAAGCTAACATTCGTGCTTTGCCAATATTTTAGTAGCTGGACACAGAAAAACTTTGCTTTCCCAAGCAATTAACACTGTCAGCCATAACTGAGCCTGCAGGCTTTTACAGAGGAAGCATTGCTTTTCTGTACTTTCTTGAAAATGAATGCTAACACCAAGTGAAGTGGTGCTGAAGTCTGGCTAGTGACTGTTGTTCAAACAGACGCTATTTGATAATGAACATAATCAAAGTTACAGTTTTAATTAAAGAACATAAGTGATACACTTTTAAAACAACCTTAATAGTGCAGGCCCACAGCAGAAAGCTTGTCTTCAGAGAGGAGACAGCCAAGTCTTTTTTCCAGCCAAAAATTTCTGAGCTGTGTTTTGTATAACTTAAGCCCCAAGCCTCTTACAAGTCTCAGGGCAGGACAAGTCTTACATTTGTGGTGTCACATAATGTCAGGAATCACAAATTGGAGAATTTTGGTGAAGTTCCTTTTCCTATTCTATTCAGTCACCTCACAGCTAA